GATGGTTGATGTTTTATGTAGTGACGATGGGTTTGTGTTATATGTATGGTGATGATGGGTGGTGTTATATGTAGTGATGATGGTTGATGTTTGCAGGTAGTGACGATGGGTTGTGTTATATGTAGTGATGGGTGGTGTTATGTGTATGATGATGATGGGTGAGGTGTTATAGTGTGGTGATGATGGTTGATGTTTATGTAGTTACGCTGAGTTGTGTTATGTAAGTGGGTTTGCTATGCTGTTGACAGTTTGTGTTATATGTAGTGATGAAGGTTGGTGTTTTTATATAGTGATGATGGATGGTGTTATACCTGTATTGATGATGGGTGGTATTATATGTAGTGATGATGGTTGATGTTTAATAACAGTGACGATCAGTTGTCATTTATAATAACCTTTGAAACGATGGTAAATGTTATATCATTGATCATGATTTGATGTGGAAATAGGGTGTTAGATGTAGTGATGATGGTTGGTGTTATATACGGTGATGATGTTGGAAGTTGTCATAGTGACAATGGGTTGTGTTATTCTGTATGACACAACTTAGTGTACCATTATTTGATTGTGTTTGTAGTGTTGGAGGGAATATAAGAGTCTAAATTTTACAGTGTGTCTCATTCATCCCAGTCACAGACGCTATCCTTCCACGGGTCACGGACAATTCATTATGTTTTGTTGATTTAAGTGTCCTTGTGCTGGTTCGGGATTTTTCTCAAGGGGCGCTTCCACTGCTATTACCATCTTATAATCTTTAATAAACCCCAAGTCAAGTGAGAAATTAAAGTCCAGTAAATTCCGACCGGTTACATATATATATATATATATATATATATATATATATATATATATATATATATATATATATATATATATATATATATATATATATATATATATATATATATAAACACACCAGTTGGGAATGGAACCCCGGGCCTCTGCGTTGGAACAGTGATCGCTACCACCGCAACACAAGGACAACAAAAGCAATCCTAGGCTTTGTTATATTCCACACTCACAACCGTATTATTAAACAACATCTTCCCTTGAAGAGGGTCGTCGTGTTTCAACCTAAAATTTAAACTAAATGAGTCCTAGGAGAAACAACGGGGTGGTGTGGAGGTTAAATGAACTAATTCTAATATCATAAATTATTTTTATTGGAATTAGTTAAGTTTACTGTTTTGTAGTGTCCCTCAGGACTCATTTAGTTTAAAACTTGGGTTGAAACACGAAGACCCTCTTCAAGCGAAGATGTTTAATAATACGGAAATCGAACCCCGGACCTCTGTGTGTGAACAGGCTTCGCTACCATGGCACAACAATGAGATACTGTTAATATGTGGAACTCAGCATGCTATATGGAGTGATGATGATATATATATATATATATATATATATATATATATCTATATATATATATATATATATATATATATATATATATATATATATATATATATTATATATATATATATACAGTATATATATATATATATATATATATATATATATATATATATATATATATATATATATATATATATATATATATATATATATATGTGTGTGTGTGTGTGTGTGTGTGTGCCGATAACCACAAGAAAACACGAAGTTCCAAAGCGCTTTCGTATAATTCACATCTTCAGGGATGAGAACTCACCCTTGAAGATGTGAATTACACGAAAGCCCTTGGGAACTTTGTGTTTCCTTGTGCTTATCAGCATATACATGGATCACGCACACGTACTTTACAGTGATTTATTTGCATATGCTGTGTCTATATATATAAAACAAAGAATTATGTCTGTGTGTTTGTGTGTTTGTGTGTCCGCACGAGAATCTCGGTAACTACTTTACCGATCCTTAGTGATGATGGATGGTGTTATATGTAGTGATAATGGTTGGTGTTATATGTATTGATGATGGATGATGTTATATGTAGTGATGATGGGTGTTGTTATATGTAGTGATGATGGGTGGTGTTATATGTAGTGAT